TGTCATCTCACTTGTTAAAGTGATAAGTACATAACTGATCAAAAAGATAGGGTAAGTGTCAAAGAGATTTCACAAATAAGACCAGTGTCTGCAAATGATGAAGGATAGAATTAAGAGGGAGAGAATGATCCTGCGGGGGAAGCAGGACACACAGCAGACTCATAGAATGGCAAACGCCCTAAGCAGCACTCCGGCCTCAGAATCAACACTTGGGGCATTCGGATCTGGCTAAAAGGCCCATGAGAGTATCACAGGCATGGAAAGCCAAGACACTGTGGCAAAAACTACCTGAATGAAAGATCCTGGTGAACAAGATCCCAGCAGAAAGAATGGGCCATCAAAGAAGGAGGCACCTTTCTCTGAAGGGAGGAGGGAACCTCCACTGTGATATGGCCTTGACTAAGTAAGTTCAGAGTTGGTGAACTCAAGGGGCTTCCATAGCCTAGACAGCTCATGGCAAGAGTCTCGGGTGATTACTAACATCATAAATAAGAGTGCCAATTGTTAAATCAACAATGGGAGTCACTGTGCACATGCTCCCCACGTAGGATCTCTGTCCTTAATGTGTTTTACTATGAGAGTTAAAGATAACACTACTGGTCGAATAGTACTCTATATCTTATGCGGTTGTGTGGGTGCAGTCTGTTGAAATCTTTGCTTAGTATATACTAAGTTGATCTTCTGTATATAAAGATAATTGAAAATGAAATGATGAAGAGTGGGATGGAGAGGGAGTGGGAGATGGGATGGCTGCAGGTGGGAGGGAGGTTATGGGGGAGAAAGCCACAACAATGCAAAAGTTGCACTTTGTAAATTTACATTTATTAAATAAAAAAAGAAAAAAGAAAAAATGAAAAACTTGGCATTTCTGGCCCAACATTATGGGATACCAACACTGAAATGGAGTTGAATAGTTGCTGTCTTTTGGAAAAGATAGGATTCTTTCCCAAATGGCCATGGTCTCCACACTGCTTGCTGCTCTCATTTGTCTTACCTGCCCAGCCTTGTCAGCATCTGAATTCCCAACCCTGATAAAAATTTGTAATTATATAAAATGTCAAAGATAGAACAGCAGGGCATAACATAGGATGAATCTTATGTGCCATTATCCAGTTTCAACAATTATTCCTAGACAATCTTGTCTCACAAGAACCCTAACCAAGTCTCCAGCACACTTCCTAGACAGTCTTGTCTCAGAAGAACCCTAACCAAGTCTCCAGCACACTTGCATCCCCCCAGGACTTCTTCGATGTAAATTTGGACAGTGCATCATTTCTTTCTTGAGCATTTCAGTGAGTCTTTACTGAAGAACCCCAGTGTGGTTCCAAATCAAGTCTCATTCTGCTATACATATGTGTCATAGTTTACAGCATGATAATATGACATACTATGGAGAAACAGTAGCTAATACATCAGAGGACTTCAGCCTGGTCTAGAGCACTGTGCTAGGTATTTAGGGAGATTGTATCATGTACGCCTCTCATCAACTTTTTGACAAATACAGTACTTTCATTCTCAAGCTACAGTCTTTTCATAAAAGTCCTTTTTAATTTTTCCTTGTATGAATATACATTTTTTTTGACAGGCAGAGTGGACAGTGAGAGAGAGAGAGAGACAGAGAGAAAAATCTTCCTTTGCCGTTGGTTCACCCTCCAATGGCCGCCACGGCTGGCGCGCTGTGGCCAGCACTCCGCGCTGATCCGAAGGCAGGAGCCAGGTGCTTCCTCCTGGTCTCCCATGCGGGTGCAGGGCCCAAGCACTTGGGCCATCCTCCACTGCACTCCTGTGCCATAGCAGAGAGCTGGCCTGGAAGAGGGGCAACCGGGACAGAATCCGGCGCCCCGACCGGGACTAGAACCCGGTGTGCTGGCACCGCAGGCGGAGGATTAGCCTATTGAGCCGCGGCACCGGCCTGAATATATGTATTTCTATATACATAAACAAATATGTGCATGACATTATATATGCATATCTATATAATATACAGCATTTTAATATATTACTTGTATATTTTTCATACATATTTAATCATACACAGTAGCTAATTTTTGTAGTTTGGTTCTATGTTCTTCTATTTATAAAAACCTATTTATACCCAGCTAATGGCAAATTTCCATAAGCTAGATTTGTTTTTTCTGATTTCCATCCACAAATATTTCAGAATTCACAACTAATTCCTGAGGTGACAAAGACAACACAATCTCAAGACTCAGAATACTGAGCACCAGGAGCGCAAGTCCTGAAGCAGCTTGCAGAGCGGCTATCCTGCCAGTGGAAAGAAATGGCCACCAAGAAGGATGTACTTTCTCTGAAGGGAGGAGAGAACTTCCACTATGCTTATTGCCTTTTCAAGCCAGTGGATCCAAAAGGCTTCCATAGCCAAGACAGCTCATGTCAAGAGCCTTAGGTGATTACTGACTTCATACGTTAGAGTGTTATTTGTTAAATAAACAACAGTCAGTGTGCACTAACTTTTCAAGCAAGACCTCTGTCCCCAAAGAGTTGTAACATGAGACTTAATAGTAAAACTTGTTCTCAAGAATCACTTCCTTTTAGTGTATTAAATGGAGAATATTATTATGTCCCATAAGTTCTAGTTATGTCTAAGAACTCACAAAAGATATACCATCCTTGGGTTCTTCTTTAAACACAATTAAGTTTCTAAAAGGAAAGAATGGGGAGGAATGAAGGGAAGAAAGAAAGGGGGGGGGGAAGCAAAATCACTTTCAAGAAACAATAACATAGAACAGCCCTTGTATAGACTGTTGAAGAACAGTTGTCTTAGCTTTTTTCATACCGTTCTTTTTCTTTTTCTTTCTCAGACAAAATAGAAGAGGGAGGAGGAAGAGAGGGGGAAGAATGGGTGGGAGGCCAGGTACAGTGGGAAGAATTACTATGTTCCTAATGTATTTATGAGATACAAATAAAGATAGATGATTGATTAGATAGAGAGATAGAGAGAGAGAGAGAGATAGCCAGAGCCAGGGGGCCAGCAGTGCCTTTTCATATCTGCTAATGAAGCCACAGTAGCAAGAACTGAGTGTGGGTGGGAGGGAGGGTAGAAAGTAACACTACATTCCTGAATCTGTATATATGAAATACCTGACGTTTGTATCCCTTAAATACAGTTTTTAAAAGAGAAATATCAAGAACGGAGTGAGGAACAGGAAGCCCCAGGCTGCCATGGCCCAGCCAGAAGCTGATTAGCTGAAAGACCCACAGCAGCTGCCTGAGAGCACAGAGCTCGGCACGCCGCGCTGCGTGGTGGAGACTCCCTCCTCCCAACGTTGAAATGGCTTCCAGACCCTGGAAAATGCATGGCCATTCAGAAACAGACCTCCCTCCCTTTGATGGCTGATCCTCTAGGGATCAAGTCTCCAGCTGTGTTTGAATTCAGGATTCAGGTTTTGGCTGTGGGAAAAATATCTAACAGTAACAAGAAAGAAACTTACCTGTGTGGAGTGCACGCACCATAGCCTGCACCATGGCTGTCCTTTATCTTCAGGCAGGGCCCTTGTACCCAGGTGGTTCAACTGTAGGCAGGCCCATAGGGTGCAGCTACCGGACAGTTACTTCGCTGAAATGTAGTAGGTGGTGGTACCTTGCCTCTTTCTGTGCCTCAAACAAACTGAATTGTATAAAGGGGCTGACAAACTATAAAAAGTGCTCTACCTATGTGACTTATTAATAAAATTCCTACAATCCTGCAGGCAGAAAGGAAAATCATTTGGAGCAATTTCAACTGGGAGATTCCATTTCTTGCATTACTTTTCTGTGAAGCCTCTTAGGGGTAAAGGAGTTTTCTTTTGTTTGTGTGGGCCTTGGTTATTTGGAACCTCAGGTAGGATGGTCCCCCATTGTGCCCCTAATGGATTAGTAGCTCACAAGGACAAAGAGGCAGCTTGGTGTGTTGCTCTAACTCTGTGTAACAGGTAGAATGACAGAAGCTTGAGGGAAGAATTCAGAAATTAGTGTGGGCTATTTTGATTTATTGTTTCTGCAGTTTTAGAGGCACTGAGGGCCTGTGGTAAGGCACAAGTGACAGTTGTTTTTTTTGTTTTGTTTTTTGTTTTGTTTTGTTTTTGACAGGCAGAGTTAGACAGTGGGAGAGAGAGAGAGACAGAGAGACAGAGAGAAAGGTCTTCCTTTTCTGTTGGTTCACCACCCCCCAAGTGGCCACTACAGCAGGTGCATTGTGGCCGGCATGCTGCGCCAATCCAAAGCCAGGAGCCAGGTGCTTCCTCCTGGTCTCCCATGCAGGTGCAGGGCCCGAGCACTTGAGCCATCCTCCACTGCACTCCCGGGCCACAGTAGAGAGCTGGACTGGAAGAGGAGAAACGGGACAGAATCCGGCGCCCTGACCGGGACTAGAACCTTGGGGTGCCGGTGCCTCAGGCGGAGGATTAGCCTAGTGAGCCACAGCGCCAGCCATGACAACTTCAATCTAATCAAGAGGCCAGGGAATCTTTTCTGAGTGGTGACAGATGCATGACCTATATTTGGCCGGCCTAGGCCCTTGAGAGGGCTTCAGAAAGGATACTGGAAGAAAATTCTGGAACTGGAAGTGGGGTGACCAGCACAACCTCATTAGCTCCCCACAGGCTTACATTGTATACGTGTTCTGCCAATAGCAAGCAGAATGTGTGTGTGTGCAGAAATATACATGCAGAGTGCATTAAAGATATCTGGATACTCGGTGATGCCTGTGATTATGATACATGCAAGAAGACACCATACTACTTCCTGGTCGAGCAAGAGTGTTGTTGTTGTTGTCACACACTGTGGCAATCCTGCTTGCCATGAGCACAGTTTTGTCTAAGTGGCACTTTGATTGATTAATCGATCCAAGAGCAGCCGACCCTTGGATGGGATGGCAAGGTAAGTGGAGCCACACTCCAGGACCCTTCCAAAGCCATCAAGATTGGCTCTATGAACAAGGGCCAGTCAGGAGAAGTGACTTCCATCCCCAACCAAAAGTCAATCAAGTAAGGTGGGCAGACTGGAAGCCACACACAAAGCATTTATTTGGAGAGGTACAAGGGAGGTTGCTCGAGCTACAGACTACTCAAATTGAAGAAAAAGGACACTCTCCACTTCCAGGAAGCTTTCTGCTCGAGTTGAGTCAACTGGGAAATCATCAGGGACTGAAGTGCAGCAGGAAGTTTCTCAAGCAACTTCATTGGCCGCTGGCAGCAAGGAAGTCGCGTTTTCTTCATGGAAATAGGACATTCCTCCACTAACTGCAAAAACACATATAAGTCAGAAAAAAAAGGGATGAGGAAAACACAACAAGTTCATGGGAATGATAGACGTGTCCTGAGAAAGATCTGGCCTTTGGAACATGACAGTTTGGGGTTTTAAATTACTGCTTGATGATTTTTAGTGTGTGACCTTGGGAAAATGATTCCAGTTTTCTGGGGCTTTTCTTCCTGTCAGTAAAATTGGGATAATTATGTAGCGCTTGCAGAGTTTGGGGAAGAAATGAAGATAAAGAGTTAGGTCTGTGCTGACACAATTCAAGCACTTACAAAATAGAGTGCTTATATTCTTGTAAATCCGTCCTATCTCACCACACTTTGTTTGCTTAAAATGACTGTGTGTATTTATTCAGATGCTCATATGCAATTGAAAAATTCCCTCTGTTAGAAACAACTGACTTTTATAATCAACAGAAACCAATTTGCTAAAAACTCTATTGGAAAAAAGCTGCATTGCATGTTTTTCTCTGAAAGAAGGTCTGAGGTAGCTTCCATGTGCCTCTCTCACTTTCTGAAGAGAGATGAACGACATTTTCAGAAACAGCAGAGACCTGGGCTCCAGGCCCAGTTTCACCTCCCCTCCCTGTGTGATAATGGATAAATGTGTTTCCATGCTGGGCCTTTATATTGCCCCCGACCCATGAGGGATTGTACTATATGATTTCTAAGTTGTCTCTTACACCTGCTATTCTATCTCCTATAAAATATGCACCATAAGAAATTCAAATGGCCAACAGAAACCTGAAAAATGCTCAGGATAACTAGCCATCAGGGAAATGCAAATCAAAACCACAGTGATGTTTCAACTCATTCTCACACAGAACTCAACAAACAAAAATACTGGCAAGGATGTAGGGGGAAAGATACCCTAATCCACTGTTGGTGGGAACATAATTTGGTTCAGCCCCTGTGAAAAAAAACAGTATAGAGATACCTCAGAAATCTTAATATAGACCTACTATGTAATCCAGCCACCCCACTCCTGGAAATTTACTCAGTCCAAAAGAAATCAGCATGTCAGCCCCAACCCAGACCTACTAAAGCACATCTTCATTTTAAATAATTCCCAGGCGTTCAGAGTTAACATTGCACTTTCGGGATCACTGAGTTATGGCCTTGCCCATTGAGTTCTACCGCATGTATCCGAAGACTTACTCAGAGCTGCCAACTATGTCCTAGGCATATATAAGTGTGCATGTGCGTGAATATAAACACAATACATACATGCACACTTACACATACGACTACCTGGATGTGACTAGAAAAATTCTGGAAGGCCACAGCTGGTCTGTGGGGATGCGGGGAGGGGGAGCGTTTAGGGTGATTTCTTATCTTAATTTCTTCTATAGTGTCCGGGGAAATTATTTTTAAGCCCGCTAGCACGCGCTTCTTCTACAATGCAATGAGAAGCCACACGCACCCACTCTCCTCCCTGTCCAGCAGGGCGTGGTAGGACGCCACGTCTTTCTGCAGCTGGCTCTTGAGCGCCAGCAGCTGCGCGCGCTCCCGCTGCTGCTGCTCGGCCTCGGCGCGGATCTCGCCCAGCTCTGCCTCCAGCCTGCCCACCACGGCGCCCAGGTTCTGCAGCTCCATGTCGTGCCAGTGCTTGGCGTCGTGCAGGGTGTTCTCCAGGCCCCGTTTCTACGAGAGAGCAAACCTGGTCCAAACCTAAGGCCCAAGGGCTGGGTCCCTGAGGGAAACGGCCCTGCTGCCCTCTTCCGGAAATTCCTTCCCCCACCCCTTGAAGTCCTTTCCCCACCCCCACTCTCCACCCCACCCCCACCCCTCACGCTGTTGAAGCCCCATTCATCGCTCTGCGCCAATGCTGCCACCTCCAGATTTTCTCACATGGCTATCCTTAGAACGAATGTCTGGCCTTTACAAACTCTGCGTTTTTTCTTTAGGGTTTTAGTCGTAGGTTAGAGTTTAGTAGTAGTTTTAGTCATTGCTACTCCCTCTTCCTCCGCTGCCCCTTCAACTGTGGGTTCCTGCCAGCCCAAACTTAGTCACTCTCTGAGCTATGCATTCTCAGTCTGCTTTGTTGGTCTCCACCACACTCATGCATTGGCAATTCCACCACAAACCACTTCCCCCCAGCTATGGGCCCATAGCTGCACTGCCTGCTGGAAGTACAGTTCAGACTTCAATCAAGGCATCCAAAAACGGAGCCACTGGCCTCCTTCAAATCTTGTCGGCACCCTGCCATTCTGAGCATCTATTCGTGAATTCACAAGAGCTCAACACTGGGGAAAGATATGTCCCTTCTCTTCTTCCTCTCATTGAAACAGAATCTTCACTGCCTCTGCGTATCCTGCGAAGTCTGCACACCAGGGCCCTCCTGTCCTGTCTAGCCACCATGGCCTGGGAGCAGATAATTATCACTTCTCACTTGGAAAAACGTTACTGGCCTCTTAGCTCATCTCCCTGTAGTTCCTTCTCCGCCTGCATCCTGTACACATCACTGCTGTGCATTATCTAAACTCCAAATTCGACTTACCTCTCCTGAGATTAAACCCCACTGATAGCTATAGCTTCCCAAGCTCCTGACATGGCACACACGACTGCCACTATCAGTTCAATTCCTACCTGGCCTTGGAATTTATTGGGGTCACGTTCTTTCCTGCACCTGCACCTCCTCCTCCATCCCTTCCAGCATCCTCATCTGCCTCATTCTGCTTATCCCCAAGTCCAAGTTCAGGAGGGCTTCCCTAACCCTCCATGCCCCTACCACCACAAGGCTAGGGGCCTCTGTGTCTCCAGGACAGCCAAAACGCATGCATGCCTTAAACTCACCGCGGTGGACTAAGCTTGCTTAGGGGCATATCTCTTTTACTAGGGTGACACTTGACAGAAACCGAGTTTCTGCAACCCTAGTGCACAGGACAGGGCCCGGCACAAGTAGGTATCTGGTATAGGTAAGTCGCCCCAAATCTCCAGATGACAGAAAAGGTATTGTGGTTATACTTAGTGCCTCACCTTTCTACCTCCCTATTACTCTAGAAACCCTCTTTATTCTCATTTTCCCATATGTCTCATCTGAAACCTATACAGATGATTAGTAAACATTTTTTGGAAAATAGTGTGCACCTCCATAGAAAATTATTTTAATTATGGTGGACCTATACTTTAGTATCTGACTCTTTTACATATAATACATAAAAAGATAAATATACTTCTAAATTGGATTAAATCGAATCTTGATTAAACAACCTTCTGTACCCTTCTCTCCAAGACAGATTTTTCAGAACTTGTAGTTATGGCTTGAATGAGAGATTCTTAGTCATGACATGATCTTAAATCTGGTTGCTATCTGGTCACCATATTATCTTATTTAAATCTTCTTATTTAAAAAATTTTCATTTATTTGAGAGATAGAGTGACATAGAGAGAAAGAAAAACAGAGACAGAGGCAGAGAGACAGACAGAGAGGTCTCCCATCTGCTGTTCACTCCCCCAAAATGCCCACAACAGTTGGGGCTAGCCCAGGGCAAGAGTAGGGAGCCACAATACTGGCCACAGCACTTTCTTCAGATCCTCTGTGCGGTTCATGAGGAAACACAGATAAGTGCTGTACCCACTGAGGGCTAACAACAGGCATTGATCACCTTGGAAGAGAGGAGGCAAGGGTGCAGTTATGCCAACAGAGGTGACCATTCCCCCCTCCTGTAAACAAGAGATCTACCATGCCCAACTTGGATGTCACCCTGGATACTCCCCCCATCCTGGAGCACTGACCATAGCTCCTTGGCCACATCTCACATGCACCTCTGTGTACGCACTGGAAGAACAGGCATTCCACTAAGCCACAAGGATAGAGTTCATGGTTAAAAGCCATCAGAGGAAAAAATCTACAAGTATCTCTTCGAATGCCTAAAAATAAATGCTGAAACTCGCTGGCGCTGCGGCTCACTAGGCTAATCCTCCGCCTTGCGGCGCCGGCACACCGGGTTCTAGTCCCGGTTGGGGCGCCGGATTCTGTCCCGGTTGCCCCTCTTCCAGGCCAGCTCTCTGCTGTGGCCAGGGAGTGCAGTGGAGGATGGCCCAGGTGCTTGGGCCCTGCACCCCATGGGAGACCAGGAAAAGCACCTGGCTCCTGGCTCCTGCCATCGGATCAGCGCGGTGCACCGGCCGCAGCGCGCTGGCCGCGGCGGCCATTGGAGGGTGAACCAACGGCAATTAGGAAGACCTTTCTCTCTGTCTCTCTCTCACTATCCACTCTGCACTGCCTGTCAAAAAATAAATAAATAAATAAATAAATGCTGAAACTCAAGAAATAGAATAAGGGAGAAATGTTCAAGGTCATAAGCAATCAGGGAAATGCAAATCAAAACCACAATGAGGTTTCACCTCACCCCAGTTAGAATGGCTCACATTCAGAAATCTACCAACAACAGATGCTGGAGAGGATGTGGGGAAAAAGGGACACTAACCAACTGTTGGTGGGAATGCAAACTGGTCAAGCCACTATGGAAGTCAGTCTGGAGATTCCTCAGAAACCTGAAGATAACCCTACCGTTCGACCCAGCCATCCCACTCCTTGGAATTTACCCAAAGGAATTTAAATTGGCAAACAAAAAAGCGGTCTGCAGCCTAATGTTTATTGCAGCTCAATTCACAATAGCTAAGACCTGGAACCAACCTAAATGCCCATCAACAGTAGACTGGATAAAGAAATTATGGGATATGTACTCTTTAGAATACTATACTGCAGTAAGAAACAACGAAATCCAGTCATTTGCAACAAAATGGAGGAATCTGGAACACATCATACTGAGTGAAATAAGCCAATCCCAAAGGGACAAATACCATATGTTCTCCCTGATCGGTGACAACTGACTGAACACCAAAAAGGAAACCTGTTGAAGTGAAATGGACACTATGGGAAACGGTGACTTGATCAGCATAGCCCTGACTGTTAATGAACAACTAAATACATTATCCCTCTTAGTAGTTTTTTTGTTTGTTCTACTTAATATGACTGGTTTAATTCTGTAATTAATACACAGTTATTCTTAAGTGTTGAAAATTAACTGAAATGTGATCCCTGTTAAACATAAGAGTGGGAATAAGAGAGGGAAGAGATATATAATTTGGGACATGCTCAAGCTGACTTGTCCCAAATGGTAGAGTTAGAAACATACCAGGGGATTCCAATTCAATCCCATCAAGGTGGTATGTACCAATGCCATCTCACTATTCCAAGTGATCAATTTCAGTTCACAATTGATCATAATGAAAGGACTAAGAGTCAAAGGGAGCACATAAACAAGTCTAGTACCTGCTAACACTAACCGATAGAATAAATAAGGGGGAGAGTGATCCAACATGGGAAGTGAGATACTCAGCAGACTCATAGAATGGCAGATGTCCTAAATAGCACTCTGGCCTCAGAATCAGCCCTAAAGGCATTCGGATCTGGCTGAAAAGCCCATGAGAGTATTTCAGGCATGGAAAGCCAAGACACACTGGCAAAAGATCTCTGTGAGTGAGATCCCAGTGGAAAGAACAGGTCTTCAAAGAAGGAGGTACCTTTCTCTGAAGGGAGGAGAGAACCTCCACTTTGACTATGACCTTGTCTAAACAAGATAAGAATCGGAGAACTCAGAGGGCTTCCATAGCCTTGGAAACTCATGACTGGTGCATAGGGAGATTACTGATGCCATAGACAGGAGTGTCAATTGGTAAAGTCAACAACAGGAGTCACTGTGCACTTACTCCTCATGTAGGATCACTGTCCTTAATGTGCTGTGCATTGAGATTTAATGCTATAACGAGTACTCAAACAATATATTTCACTTTGTGTTTCTATGGGGGTGCAAACTGTTGAAATCTTTACTTAATGTATACTAAACTGATCCTCTGAAAAAAAAAAAAAAAGAAAGAAAGAAATTATCAACTCCCAACTTGACTCTCACAGGGATTAAACATGACAATAGGTCTGATCTGATTTCATCATCATTTAAAAAAAAATCATCTATTATTTTTCACTTTATGTTTCTGTGTGGGAGCAAACTGCTGAAATCCCTACTTAATGTATACTAAGCTGATCTTCTGTATATTAAGATAATCGAAGATGAATCTTGATGTGAATGGAAGGGGAGAGGGAGTGGGAAAGGGGAGGGTTGTGGGTGGGAGGGACGGTATGGGGGGGAAGCCATTGTAATCCATAAATCGTACTTTGGAAATTTATATTCATTAAATAAAAGTTAAAAAAAAAAAAAGAATAAGGAAGACAATATGCAGTGGAGGATGGCCCAGGTGCTTGGGCCCTGCACCCCATGGGAGACCAGGAAAAGCACCTGGCTCCTGCCATCAGATCAGCGCAGTGCACCAGCCACAGCGCGCCAGCCGCGGCGGCCATTGGAGGGTGAATCAACGGCAAAGGAAGACCTTTCTCTCTGTCTCTCTCTCTCACTGTCCACTCTGCCTGTCAAAAAATAAAAAAAAAATTTTAAAAAAGAATGTTTAGATGAGAGATGATGAAATGCCTGAAACCTTATTCCGAAGATTAATCACAGAATTACTGAAAAGCCATCAGAAGCAAATCCATGAATTAAAGCAATCCATACATGACATGGATAAAAATTTTTCCCATGAAATTGATATTTTAAAGAGAAATCAAAATAAAATATTAAAAAAGAAGAATTTAATAGCTCAAATAAAAAAGACAGTGGAAACTATTAAAAATAGACTTGGTGAGGCAGAAGAATGAATATCTAAGCTAGAAAAGAAATCTTTGGAAATTTTTCAATCAGACCAAAAAAATTTAGAAAAATTCACAACAGTGTTAGAGATTTATGGAATACTATGAAATGACCCAACATATGGGTCTTAGGAGTTCCTGAAGGTATGGAAAGAGAGAATGGATTAGAAGGCCTATTCAGTGAAATAATTACTGAAAACTTCCCTAATTTGGAAAAAGGAAGGGATGTCCAAGTACAGGAGATGCATAGAACTTCATATAGACATGACCAGAAAAGATCTTCAGAATGACACACTGTAGCCAAGCTTTCAACAGTAAAATAGAAAAGATTCTAAAATGTGGAAAAGCCAGATTACTTTCAGAGGATTTCCAATTAGACTCACAGCTGACTTCTCATCAGAAACCCTAGAGGCTAGGAGGGAATTGAAGTACATAGTTGAAGTCTTAAGAGGGGAAAAAAAAAATTGTAACCCAGAATAGTGTACCCTGAAAAGCTCTCATTTATGAATCAAGAGAAAATAAAGACCTTCCATGAACAGAAATTGAAATAATTTGTCACCACTCATCCAGCATTACAAAAGATGCTTAAGGATGTGCTACACACAAAAACACAGAAAGACACTCATCATTATGAAAGAATCTGAAGGTAGAAAATATCCCAGTAAAAGTACAAAGGAAATCCAAAGTAAACAACAGAAATATTAATAGAAAAATGTCAGGGTGCCATGCTATTTAAAAGAAATGTTAATGTGGGGCTGGTGCTGTGGCATAGCGAGTTAGGCCGCCTCCTGCCATGCCAGCGTCCCTTATGGGCACCAGTTCAAGTCCCGGCTGCTCCACTTCTGATCCAGCTCTCTGTTATGACCTGGGAAGGCAGTGGAAGATGGCTCAGTCCTTGGGCCCCTGCACTCCCTTGGGAGACCCGGAGGAAGCTCCTGGCTCCTGGTTCCTACCTTCGGATTGGTGCAGCTCTGGCCATTGTGACCAGTTGGGGAGTGAACCAGCAGATTGAAGACCTCTCTCTCACTCTCTCTGCCTCTCCTTCTCTCTGTGTAACTCTGACTTTCAAGTAAATAATAAATCTTTTAAAAAAAAAAGAAATGTTAATGAATCTAAAGGGAGACATAGACTTCAATAGAACAGTAATGGGGCACTTCAATACCCTACTTTCATCAATGGCAGATCAACTAGACAGAAAGTCAACAAACATAGCTAATTGACACTATGGACCAAATGGACCTAACTGATAACTACACAACTTTTCACACCACAGTTGCAGGATCACATTCTTTTCATGGAACTTTCTCTAGTATAGACCATATGCTAGGCCATAAAGCAGGTCTCAGCAAATTCAAAAAAATTTAAACTACACCATGCAGTCCCAAACAAGACAGATATCATATGTTTTCCCTGCTCTGGGGTAACTAATAGTCTCTCCAGTGTGATGTTTAGGATGAAATGGACATTGTGAGATGCGATGATGGTTAACACCCTTATCTCTTCTGTTGAGGAACAGTATATTGCTTCTTCATACTATTTGTTGAACTCTTTACTTAATGTAGGGTTAACCTTACAAGTGTAAAGTAAACTGAAAATTCATCTTTGTAAAAATTAAGAGTGGGAATAAGAGAGGAAGGAGGAAGGATTGGAGCGTGGGCTGGAGGGAAGGTAAGGTGGTATACTTAGGAAGCATCACTATGTTCCTAAATCTGTACATATCAAATACATGAAACTTGTATAACTTAAATAATTTTTTAAAAATGTGGCTATTATTAAAGATACGCAAAGTAACAAATGGTGGTGAGGATGTAGAGAAAGAGGAACTCTTACACACTGTTGATGGGCATGTAAAATAGTTCAGCCACTATGGAGATTTCTTTGAAGTCTAGAAATAAAATTGTCACATGATTCAGTAATCCCACACTGAATATGCATTCAAAAGACATGAGCACACTGTATCAAAGATATACCTGCTCCACTATGCTTATTGCAGCACTGTTCACAATAACCAAGATATGGAATAAACCGATGTATCCACTATCAGTTGAATGGATAAAGAAAATGTGGAATATATCCATGATGGGGCTACTATTTGGCCATAAAAAAGAATGAAATCCTGTTGTTTGCAGTAACATGGATAAAATTAGAGAATGTCACATTAAGTGAAATGAGTTAGACACAGAAAGACAAATGCCACATGTTCTCTTTCATTTGTGGGAGCTAATAAAAATTCATTCTAGGCCCAGAAGTTTGATTACAAGAGGCTGGGATTGGTGGGAGGGATAAAGTGTGTTTGAATAAAAAAACTGGAAGCTAGGTGTGTTTCATTAATTAAAACAAATATACTAATATGAAATGTCAATAATAGGGCAAGCTAGGTATGGTTTATTGATCATGACAAATATATTACAGTAATTTAAGATGTTAATCATAGGGGATGCTGTTGTGGGGAATATACAACTCTGTACTACTTCACAATTTTTGATTTATAAATTTAAAACTATTCTGAAAAAATGTAAAAGTTTTAGGTATTCAATACAGATGCATTTTTTCTCAAGTATTTTCCATGTATGGTTGGTAAAATTCATTAGCATGCTAGACTCCTGGAGATTGGGGGGGGTGGTAAACTGCAATTACGTTAATTAATATAATTAAAAATGAAAGAGACTTGCCTGCAAACACAATGAGTCTGAGGAACTTAGTAGCTGTCCTAGGCTTGGTTTTCTGGAAGCAGAGCCTGAGACAAAGATCCTGGAACTTCTAAATACTTCAGGGATTGCTCTCGGGACAGGGAAGGGGGGAATGAGGAAAGCAGTGTAGGGCAGAGGCACTCGCAAGCATGTGGGCTCAGTGGCAGCCTAGCTAAAGCCTGACCCCGCGAGAGATCTGGAATTTGGATTGTACCACAGAGCTGTGCTTTAAACACCCCAGCTGGTCAGCTTTGGCTAAGGGCTTGAGGCTAGCCCCAGTCCCTGGGCCAGTAGCCTTCTGCTTAGCTGAGGGTAATTCTCTGGGGTGGCTGAAACGCAATAGCTTTGGACAGTAACAGTCACCATTCCCGGCAGTTTCCTGGTAGGGGTGTGTCGGTAGTAAAAGGCACTCAGTATCTACTACACTTGATGTGATCAAGCATCTGATGAAAATCTCCTGGGCAAAAAATCATATTCTGTGAGATGCTAATCCATTGCAAATTATGACCTGAATGACTAGTTGAGAGTTGAGAGTTAAAATTAGCACAAGTAACACCACGGCTCTCCTTGGTTCACTCACCAGGGCCCGTAAGGATTCCGTCTCAGCCTGGAGGCTCTGGACTTGGCACGACGTGTTGTGCAGCTCCACCCTGAGGGCAGCAGCCATCTTCGCCTCCTGGGTTGGGGCCACGCAGGCCACCTCAGCCTGTTGCTGTGGGGAATCAGGTCTCAGTATGAGCAGGGATAAGCCAAAATTCTGAACCTAATCTTCCTTCTCAGTCTTTCTATCCTCCGATGCCTGCCTCTGACCACAGTCCCCTTTTTCCTACAGGTTCCTCACAAAAAATGCATATAGAAATCCAGTTGTTTTGAACACATAATGCCTTCAAGTGGAATAAAATTCAAAAGAGCTCCTAAGGAATATTTATTCCAATTTATTTCCTGAGGAATATAATTCCTTTTTCAGTGCATCCTAATTATCCAGTTCTGTTTGCAATTTCCTATACCCCTTCCTGAAATACTTCCCATATTTATAAATAAATATTTATGACGATATATTTAAAACATAAAATGGCTTGACATATTCTCTTGGCTTTAAAATGCTTTTTCATATATGCATAGAAATGTAATGAGCATGAGGGTAATATTCTATATTGTCTGTACATTAAATAAAAGATGGTCTATGAAGTTTTCAGGGTGCTACTGTTTCCATCTGATGAGATGTTCCATTTTCTGGATTTTTCTGGGTTATGATTACTTTCAGTTCTTTTTTCTGGCAATAAATACAAGAAGTTACAGCAGCTATCCAAGTTCATCACCAATTGTTTCTGATCATTTTCAAGTATAAGCATTTTTTAATTTTAAATAAACTGTATTTTAAAATAATGATAAATACTGGCCGGCGCCGCGGCTCAACAGGCTAATCCTCCGCCTTGCGGCACCGGCACACCGGGTTCTAGTCCCGGTCGGGGTGCCGGATTCTTTCCCGGTTGCCCCTCTTCCAGGCCAGCTCTGCTATGGCCAGGGAGTGCAGTGGAGGATGGTCCAAGTACTTGGGCCCTGCACCCGCATGGGCGACCAGGAAAAGCACCTGGCTCCTGCCTTCGGATCAGCACGATGCGCCAGCCGCAGCAGCCATTGGAGGGTGAACCAACGGCAAAGGAAGATCTTTCTCTCTGTCTCTCTCTCACTGTCCACTCTGCCTGTCAAATAATAATAATAATAATAAATACTTAAAAGGTATCACTTATTAGTTACTTTACAATAATCTATGTCATAGAGGTTATGTCCATCTATGGTTTCCATGTGACATATAATGGTGTGCTAAGAGGCATCTGTTCTCAGGTCTACATTCATTTACAGCAAGTTAATAGGTTGAAATCAGTCATAGTGAGGGTATGGACACCATCAAAATTGGAAAATATTACACATCAGGAATTGATTTATTGTTTTGTTTATTGCCTGGACTTAAGGATGAAGAAAACGTTAATTATGTATATTAAAATTATGTCATGTCTGTAGCACTATGTCATAAATAGTACACACACACACACAAGGGAGTGTTCTTCCAATATCTGAAACTATTTATTGGACTCAGCAAAGAAACTACGAATATCGTTGATGAATAAACTCATTGACGTCAACAAAAGTATCAACCAAAATTTATGTCAGAATCATTCTCATTTATCAATGGTGTCAGTGGCTTCTTGTTCAACCAGAAATGAGTAAACAAGCATTTCTTGTGTCCTGGTTTTGTGACACCACTGTTTCTAACAGTTTCGCATGTTACAAGTTGGCTCCCAGCATGGTGACTCCAAGAAGTAGGGGGCCCTTTAAGAGACAGAGCCTTTGGGCAGTTAATTAGGTCATCGGGGCACTGCTCTTGGAAGGGATTAATAGTTCTGCATTTGGGCTTCCCGTCTCAGTGGGCATTTCTGGGGCTAGGCTGCTGACCAAGGCCATCATCACAGGCCGCTACCTGGTCTGTGCCTCTCTCAACACAGTGAGTGGCTTCTGTTTAGTGTACTTGCCAGCCCGCAAACTGCTCTGTGCAGTGTTTCCCTGCATTCCTGGAATACCAGCATGTTTTTTATGTGACTGTTGCATACAGCTTTTATTTAAATCAATTCACTATTTCTTTGCAATTAAGTACGTTTACAAAGGAAAGTGGGGCTGGAGCTGTGGTGTAGTGGGCTAAGCCTCTGCCTGTGGCACCAGAATCCCATATGGGCACTGGTTTAAGTCCTGGCTGCTCCTCTTCTGATCCAGCTCTCTGCTATGGCCTGGGAAAGCAGAAGAAGATGCCCCAAATGCTTGGGACCCTACCCCAACATGGGAGACCTGGAGGAGGCTCCTGGTTTTGGATCGGCACAGCTCCAGCCATTGCAGCCATCTAGGGAATAAACCAGAGGATGGAAGACCTCTCTCTCTGTGTCTCTCCCTCTGTAACTCTACCTCTCACATAAAATAAATAAATAAAATCTTCTTTAAAAAATTTTTTTAAAAAGGAAAGTATGGGGGACAGGCACAGGACACATCAGTTAACATCTGATACAATCCTGTATCAGAGCACCTGGCTCAAGTTCCAGCTTCCCACTTATGCACACACTGGGAGGCAGCCGGTGATGGCTCAGATACTTAGGACCCTGCCACCCACATGAGAGACCCAGATGAAACTCAGGGCTCCTGGTCTCCGTCAAGTCCAGCCCTGGCTGTTGTGGGCATTTGGGAAGGAAGCAGCAGAGGAAGACTTCTCTCCGCCTTCAAGCAAAATGAAAAAAAATACGTTTTAACTTTAGCATGCACCCACATAATCTAGCAATCCTATGGAATGCAGGTTCTGATGTAGAGGATCTGAGGGGGTCTATTTCAGCTCCCAGGTGCCTGGTCCATGGAAGCAGAGCTCTAAACTCCACAGAAACAGATAAAACAATATCACTTGCCATAGACATCAGATAACTGAAAAGATTAAGAGTTTCTCCTTGAGTTTACACAAGAACTGTGTGGCCATTGAAGCTGCTCTCTTTGGACCAATTCCCAGGCACTACCGAAGCTACCAGTGGAAACGAGCAGCGAGTGGCTTCATGGACAAATTGTCTCTGTTAGCCACAACTAAACAGACCCTGGTGGAAAAAGCAGCAGAAGAGGCTCTGCCATGCCCCCTTCCCTCCCTCCTCCTTTCTTCAGGGGCAGTAACTACATCTGTAAAATGGGAATAAAAACAGCTTCTGCTTTGGAGGCTTTCATGAGAACTGAACAAGCAGAAAGGGTGGCAAAGGCCCAGCATTGTCACCTTGCACGAATGGTGTCTGTCCACGTGAGAATCAAGTGTTCCTGCCTTTTTCTTATACAGCGTGATCTCCTGAGAAAGGGGCCACCCTGCAGACTGAGGGCCTCCAAAATTCCTAAAGGAAAATCATTGGGATTAAAATGTTATCCGGCCGGCGCCGTGGCTCACTAGGCTAATCCTCCGCCTTGCGGCACCGGCACACCGGGTTCTAGTTCCGGTCGGGGCGCCGGATTCTGTCCTGGTTGCCCCTCTTCCAGGCCAGCTCTCTGCTATGGCCAGGAGTGCAGTGGAGGATGGCCCAAGTGCTTGGGTCCTGCACCTGCATGGGAGACCAGGAGGAAGCACCGCTCCTGCCTTCGGATCAGTGCGGTGCACCGGCCGCGGCGGCCATTGGAGGGTGAACCAACAGTAAAGGAAGACCTTTCTCTCTGTCTCTCTCTCTCACTGTCCACTCCGCCTGTCAAAAAAAAAAATGTTATCCACTCTATTCCTGAAGTTTAGGTATCCTAATCACAGGGTGATTTCAGTGAGCCCACAGCTCCACAGAAGTTTTAAAGTTTTGTGGCCAAAGTCAGAACAAAGCAGACTTGTGTGCAGGATTCTCTTGTTTATATCTCTACAGAATGGAAAGATGAGTCCTAGGAACAGGTGAATCAGAGCTGACCCTACACTGATTTCCAATGGTGGCCTTTTAAAATTTTATTTATTTATTTATTTGACAGGTAGAGTTGTAGACAGTGAGAGAGAGACAGAGAGAAAGGTCTTCCTTCCGCTGATTCACTCCCCAAATAGCTGCTATGGCCGGCGCTGTGCTGATTGGAAGTCAGGAGTCAGGTGCCTCTTCCTGGTCTCCCACGTGGGTGCAGGGGCCCAAGGACTTGGGCCATCTTCTGCTGCTTTCCCAGGCCACAGCAGAGAGCTGGACTGGAAGAGGAGCAACCGGGACTAGAACTGGCACCCAAATGGGATGCTGGCGCTGCAGACCGAGGATTAACCAAGTGAGCCATGGCGCCGGCGCCGGTGGCCTTTTTAAAGCCTATGGAAAAAGCTTTCCATGGTGCGCTATTGTAGTAAAAGATATTGATGTATAATCAGGTATATTTATTAGGTCTTTGTGCCTTCTAGCCCACCAGAGCTCTTAGAGCCCTTGTAAGTTCCTAAGTGACAAGAGCTCACACGTTGGTCCCCCGACCAGCCTCAGCGCCTAAGATTGTTCCTGCGCGTTATTCCTAACAATCCCATCTCAACCACACTCGACATTATGTTAATGACATGGCTTCTGGTTCACTCCAAAGGGTGAGGTGCTTGCTGCCAGAGGAACTGATCCCCTGATGAGAAGGTTGAAACTTCCAGCCCCTCCTCCGTACTTCGGGAGGGCACAGGGACTTGACCACCAACATCCCATGATTGGAGAAATTCTGCTTAGGTAAAGAAGCCTCCATAAAACCCCAAAAGGATGGGTTTGCAAGTTTCGAGCAGGTGAATGAGAGAGGTTCTGGAAGGATGGGGCTCAAAGCAAGGGCATGGGAGTGCCACACCCCTTCCCATGCACTTGCCCTATGCACCTCTTCTATGTCATTTCTTGATTTGTGTCCTTTATAACAAACCTGTGAAAATGAGTAAACTGTTCTCTGAGTTCTGTGACCCATGTGAGAAAGTTAGCTTATCTAAGGAGGGGTCGTGGAAACCTCCAGTTGCTCAGAACAGTAGGGCCAGGCTCCCAACTGACAACTGGAGTGGAGCAGCCTCGTGGGGCAGAGCTCTCACCCTGAAGGACCTGACAATAACTCCAGGTAGACTGTGCCAAATCTGATTTGACCGATACTATACCTGATCTTAGTCAAAAGGCCGAGAAGTGATGATTTGAACCACAGAACGTTCAGATGGTGTCTGGAAACCTGCTTGGTGTGAAAAGACTAACACATCTGTTGTGCCAAATAAAAATTACAAGAGGACATTGTTTTGTGCCAATAGATGGGGATAGAAACCAAAATAGAGGCATTCATGCTAGAACTCCAGGTCATTAAAATGAGACTAAGCTATGGATCTGACCTTCCAAGAAATCCACATCAGAGAGGTAACAGCCAACGTTCCCAAACAGGTCTGTTTCAATCAACCTGATAGTGAAGTTCCTTTTGCCCAAATCCTTACACCAAAAGGTAGCCTGGAGGAACCTGAGGTTAGCCAAGCAGTTGTCTTTCTATTGTTCTGTCTCCCTGTCCCCAAGGAGAGTAACTTTGAAAGGATCAATTCAATTTTTAATTTCATTTCTGCTCCTTGCAACCCTTTTCTCTGTGTAAACCAGTCTCTCCCACTCATTGGAAAACTTACTGTATTTTATGGACTGAAGTATTACCCAATTCTAGAGTCAAAAATAAAGCCAATTAAGATGGCTAAATGAAATTGTAATTTTGCCCTTTGACAGGCCTATAAAGTCTGTGAGAATCTAGGAAAAAAAGATACATTTTTTTCCATCTACACATATAACCAGGAGGTCTGGAGTTATGCACATAAAGCAGGGCAAGCTGTCTGAGATTACTGAGGCTGCCCTGGGTCTGGAACCACAGCAATTCGACCAGGAGAAGCCAGTCTCAGTGAGACCCCAGAAATTTCCTGGTCGTGATCCTCCAGGCACTGAACCATGTGACTTCAGAAGCTCCGAACACTGGACCCCGAGGATTCCTGACATCCAAGAACATCACGGCTTCAGGAAACGCGGTTCCTGCCCTCACCCTCGCCAGATCTCTTCACAGCGTTTAATGAGTGTGAAATAGTAAGCGAACGGGCAGGTAAGTTGTGGCAGATGTGGATGGCATCTGCCTGTGCCCCTCGGGCCTGCACCCATGCAACTCCCCAGGCTCCCAAGGGCAGATTCTGCCTCTTTGCCTGCGAGCTTCCTCAGAAGCCCTTGAAAGTCACTTTGCCTGCAGAAAACAGTGGCTGAGGGAGAGGGGATGAGCGCCCCAGACCTTGCCTTCTCCCTCTCCTGCATCCTGTGCCTCTTTCTAGAATTCACCTCGGTCGTCCTCAGTCTGCCACGGCAGCAGCGTCATGATGCGCGCTGTTGGCTCCCCTCTCTGCTTCTCCTGCACTGGATTTCGTCACTATCCTCCAGCTTCCAAACAAACCACCTCCACTCCGGTGTCTGTCTCAGGATCTGCTTCTGGGGAACCCTAAACTAAGATGTAAACTAGTCATGCCAACTAGCTATCGGCCTCCTTGTGCTGAAGGAGAGCTAAACGCATGCGCATCACCTTTGCAAGAAAGCGGTGTGTATGCTGAGTCACTTCACGTGGGCACTTTGCAGCGGAAAACCAGACAGGAGAGGCTCAGGGTAGCAATGTCAGTCCCAGGGGTACGGCTGCAACTGCAAGACCGTTTATTGGGGGATTCTGCCTGTCGGTTCTGATCTTTGCTGGTCATCAGCGAAATGGGCTCCTTCTCAAATATTTCCTGAGCTGCCTGGCAGCACTGACTGAGCTAAGTCGAGTACGGTCTGTTTTCTCTAAGCTGTAGCTATTAAATGCTTCATTTAAAAAATACCACACAAACGAATCTGCTCAGAGTTAATGACTGAGTTACTGCTGGGCTGATTCTCAAAGGGGTGAGGGGTAAATAATAATAACTAGCGTTTTTTTTTTTTCCCCACACTAGGCAGATTTGTTCCCAATAATTACAGTGGCCACTCCCTTTACCCAAAGGAACAATCACTACAGTGTGCTCTGCACCCCAAGGTGGTGAACCATGAAGCCAGTGAGGCCTCGGAAACAGAGCCAGGACAGAAACCATGCGGCTCGGTGCAGGCGAAAGTTCCCTGGACCGGCAGTCAGAGAGCTGAGCCACTGCCAACCGGCTGTGACCTTGAGAAGTCAAGCCCACTCTCTGCCTCTCAGTTCCCTCTCCTCCGAACTGATAGAACGCAATGAGGTGGCCCCAGGGTCATTCATAGTAAACATCCATGAATCTCTTTAAAAATAGGCAGTGGCCCAAAAGCAAATCTGTGGGCTGACCTCCGTTTACCTCGGTGTGGCTCCCTCTCCAGGAGCATGGGTGGGAGGGGGAACTCCATTGTAGTGAGTTGCTAGGCACTTTCTGCCATCGAAAGTGTTTGCAGTGACCTGGCAGACAGAAAAGATGCTACGGGGGCTGAAAAACAGGGGCATGAAGGATGTTTTCTGGGCAGAAGACATTCAAGTGAGCCAGAGTCAGCGAGGGCTCTGCTGGGAGGGAACGTGCTAGAAGAAAGGACAGAAACGTCTCTCCTGGTTTCTTTGGTGGCTCTTGTACCATCACGACTCTCTACCTGCCTGTTAGAATTATCCAGAGAGCTTTTTAAAAACTCCAAAGTTGGCCAGCGCTGTGGCTCACTAGGCTAATCCTCCACCTAGCGGCGCCAGCACCCCGGGTTCTAGTCCCGGTTAGGGCGCCAGATTCTGTCCTGGTTGCTCCTCTTCCAGGCCAGCTCTCTGCTGTGGCCCGGAAGTGCAGTGGAGGATGGCCCAAGTGCTTGGGTCCTGCACCCACATGGGAGACCTGGAGAAGCACCTGGATCCTGGCTTCAGATCAGCGCGGTGCACCGGCCACAGTGGCCACTGGAGGGTGAACCAATGGAAAAAGGAAGACCTTTCTCTCTGTCTCTCTCTCTCACTGTCCACTCTGCCTGTCAAAAAACAAAACAAAACAAAAAACCTCCAAAGCCCCCTCCTCTCTTCTGACTTAAGTAGACTGGATGCAGCCTGGAGCAGGCATTTTTGAAAGTGCTTTCTGAAGCTTGTGCTGTGTCGCCAGGATTGAGAACCCCTGGACGTCAGCCGAGAGTTCACAGGAAGCCCCCCCTCCAATATCTGCTTTGTTTTCCCCACAGCTGCATATGTTCCTCCCTCTTCACTTTCCATTCTCTGCCTTGTAATTCTAAAGTCACGGATAGACGGGAGACGGGGGAGTGGAATGGAGAAATGAAATGCCTTCCATTTCCTGGCTAACTCCTTTAGCACTTATGAAGTGTAATGAACATTGCTTTCTGCCATGCACAGAATCCACACTCCCTAAGGAAAACTCGAGATGCACCCAAAAACCAGAGAAAGAGGATGCCAAACCGAACCACTTCTAGCACCATGAACATGTGGGTTTCTGCTTTCCCACTTTGGACGCCTGGTTTCTTTGTTTGAATGCTACCCCTTGCTGCTTACATACCAGGGGTTGGCAAACTGCAGCCTGCAGGCTCTAAAACAGAACACGGGCACGCTCATTCATGACTGTTGTCTGCCAATGCTCTCACACTGCAGTGGTAGAAGGCAACAGCTGCCTACAGAGGGTGCCCGGCCCACACAGTCTAAGGTTTTTTATATGGTCCATGACAGAAAAGGCTTATCCACCCTGGGATAGCCAATTCTGTGCTCTTTTCCTCCATTTTACCTCTCCAGCTGAGCATTTTCTCTTGTCATTCTCCATGTGTCATTTCTGGCAAGCGCCTGACGTTTCACTGCACATTGCAGGGTTAGGCGGATGGCTCAGTCTTCCTCCCCTATCATCAAACACTTGGAAGGCTTTGCTCCCAACTTCTCCCCTCTTCTAAGCCCTCAGTGAGTAGGTGTGGACATAAACTGCTTGTATTTCCAAATATTTATTTAGGATAATGTCCAGACTACTCAGCGGTCCGGGAGGGGCACTGTACCCCACATATGCCCAGAGCAGTGCAGGGCAGGAGCGCGTGTTTCCCGTAAAGCAGTAGAGGACCTGCACCCGCACAGACTCACCAGGATGGGATAGCGATCTCATCATTTTAAACGCTGTCTGCTTTTAGAGAGGTAAACCACATGCTACTGTTTTAATTTGCACTGCTTCTGTGTCTAGTGAGACTGAACATGTTTCTAAGCAGTTGTGTTTATCTTGCTGCATGTTTACTTTTTCATCTCTGCTTGGCCTCCTTCTGCACAGGGCATAGTGCACGGTGCTGGTCCTGTGTCTCACCTTAGCTTGGAGCAAGGCTCCTGCTTCCACCCGGTTCTTTTCGACGTCTCTCTCCCACTGAGTTCTGATGGCCTCCAGGATGCCATCCAAGCCAGGACCAATAGGAGCATCGATCTGCTCAAGCTCAGAGCCGGCCAACTGTGTGTACAGCACCTTCACGTCCTGAAAATGATGGCACACACCGCGGGTGAATTCCAGAGGAGAAAGAAGGGACACAAAATTCTATCAGCAGAGCCCCACCTCTGCGGGTCATATTTTGGCTTCTCTTCCTGCTTGTGCCAGACATGGGGGCTTCATCGAGACTGGCCAGGTCTCTGGGTCTCATTCCAGATAGGCAACATACTGTCTTTTTCCAAGGATGCAATTCTTAGGTTGGTCTTCACAGACCCAGACCCCAAGCAAAACCAACATGAGTAAAAATGAAGTAAGCATAAAGTCAGACTAAGCTTAAAGAGGTTTAAGGATAATCCAGGAGTCATTAGAGGCTTACTATTGAGCAGGGGACAGAGGAAGTGAGTTTATGGTTTCTGGTTAGCTTCAGGCTGCACACGGCTGTCACTTCCCAAAGTGAGCCTTGTTAAAGCAAGTTTCAATTCTCCCACTGGGAGCAGCTGACAAATCAGCCTGCAAAGAACTCGATCACGTAGTTGCTGGAGTTCCCTTCAGGCGCAAAGCCCTCTCCTAACCTCAGTAAGGAGTGTGTGTAGACTACAGCTGGCATCTGCTGTCAGTTACGGTGTCTGTCCTACACGGGGCGGAAGGAAGGATCTGTGAGGAGGGGGAGTCAGCACAGATTTCCATCACTCACCTGTGCTTGATCCTGTTGTCCCCAGCCCCATCTAAGTACCAGCCCGGTCCCTGAAGCTGTGTTTCAGGCTGCGGGGGCCACTGACCCACCACAAGGGTTTGAAAGCATTTGCCCTGAAGCTTTGGGCAACCAAAGTAGAGAGGCACAGATGAGTTCCCATGCCCTGAGTCTGGAACCACAGCCGGACAGGTGAGGGCCTCTGAGCCTCTTGGCTCCATCAAGCCCCGCCCACCTACCTCTTCCTAGTTCCCTCAAGCCCCGCCCACCTACCTCTCCATAGATCCTGTCGAGCCCCGCCCACCTACCTCTTCATAGTTCCTGGACAGAAAGCCGAGTTCTTCCCTCAAACTCTCGATTTGATTCTCCAGATCCACTTTTGTCGAATTAGCTTCATCAATGACTTTGTAGAGAGAGTTGATTTCCTCTTCTGCTGCCTTGCGAAACGGCTGCTCATTTTCATATCTGCCAATATAATAACTTAATCAGCAAAGCTGGGTACCCCCAAAAAATGAGATCATAAATGCTACCAACAAGCCAATGATGTGATAACTACACAGTGAATGAAAAATCACTGTTCCAACGGCTCTGAGAGTACCCTCGGTGCAACTGGTACTTGCTGACTTACTAGAATAAAAGCAACACACCCCGCTTCCAACAAGCCAGCCTCATGGGGTCCTGCGCCATGAGATCCAGTATCTGTTCATGGCCGCCCCCAGTTGTCTCCCCACCTGCAGACTCTCTAGCAACCTGCTGAGTATCAGACTGGGCATCCTCGCCTGAGGGATGTGTCCTCTTCTAATACGTGAAGCGTCAGGACAGTGGCTGCAGCGCCAAAGGCTGCCTGCCGCCGGCCCAGCGGAGCGCGAAGAGGGACCCGGGTGAGGTCGGGCCCCAGACGAGGTGGGACTCAAGCACATGGGAGAGTTCGTGTGTCACCTAAAGGGGGCCGACTGCCCAGCTCTACCCCGTGACTGCCTGTGGGAAGGGGCTGTAGCAGGGTGCCAGTTCTCTCCGGAGAAACAGGAAACCAGAATTTAATGAAATGTCCGGACTCTTTAAGCTTCACAAATTATGCAAGCACGTGTGGATATACCACATACACACCCCCCACATGACGTGTGGATATACCACATACACACACCCCCCACATGACGTGTGGATATACCACATACACACACCCCACATGACGTGTGGATATACCACATACACACACCCCACATGACGTGTGGATATACCACATACACACCCCCCACATGACGTGTGGATATACCACATACACACACATACCCCACATGACGTGTGGATATACCACATACACACACCCCCCACATGACGTGTGGATATACCACATACACACACCCCCCACATGACGTGTGGATATACCACATACACACACACTCCACATGACGTGTGGATATACCACATACACACCCCCCACATGACGTGTGGATATACCACATACACACACCCCACATGACGTGTGGATATACCACATACACACACATACCCCACATGACGTGTGGATATACCACATACACACCCCCCACATGACGTGTGGATATACCACATACACACACATACCCCACATGACGTGTGGATATACCACATACACACACCCCCCACATGACGTGTGGATATACCACATACACACACCCCCCACATGACGTGTGGATATACCACATACACACCCCCCACATGAACGTGTGGATATACCACATACACACCACCCCCCCACATGACGTGTGGATATACCACATACACACACCCCCACATGACGTGTGGATATACCACATACACACCCCCCACATGACGTGTGGATATACCACATACACACACCCCACATGACGTGTGGATATACCACATACACACACCCCCACATGACGTGTGGATATACCACATACACACACCCCCCACATGACGTGTGGATATACCCATACACACACCCCCACATGACGTGTGGATATACCACATACACACACCCCCCACATGACGTGTGGATATACCACATACACACACCCCACATGACGTGTGGATATACCACATACACACACCCCACATGACGTGTGGATATACCACATACACACACCCCCCACATGACGTGTGGATATACCACATACACACACATACCCCACATGACGTGTGGATATACCACATACACACACCCCACATGACGTGTGGATATACCACATACACAGCCCCCACATGACGTGTGGATATACCACATACACACACATACCCCACATGACGTGTGGATATACCACATACACACACCCCACATGACGTGTGGATATACCACATACACACACCCCCCACATGACGTGTGGATATACCACATACACACACCCCACATGACGTGTGGATATACTACATACACACACACACACACGACGTGTGGATATACCACATACACACCCCCACATGACGTGTGGATATACCAACACACACCCCACATGACGTGTGGATATACCTACACAACACACACACGACGTGTGGATATACCACATACAACACCCCACATGACGTGTGGATATACCACATACACACACACACCCCACATGACGTGTGGACATACCACAACACACACACCCCCACATGACGTGTGGATATACCACATGCACACACCCCACATGACGTGTGGATATACCACATACATACACCCCACATGACATGTGGATATACCACATACACACACCCCCCACATGTCTGAGTTTGTCTTCTCGGAGCCATCTCAATCCTGCTTTTCAAAATCTCTGGTTTGTAAGGATGTAGCATGAGACTTTCTACCTAAATGCCTTCTTCATGGAGATTATGTAAACACTTCATCTTTCAGGGAACTAATCCCACCCCTTCAGCTAAACCAACGCCCCAGCCCCCAGTCAGTGGGCTGGGTCTCCACTGACCTGAGCTGGAAGAGTGCCCCACGTGCCTCTGGAGTTCTGTTTTGTTCACCCCTCCAGGGAGCCCGCCCCTTCCTCTCCCCCCCCCCCCCCCCCGCATTATGGGAGCTCTTGAGTCCCCTCCAGACTGATTGTGGCGAATCCCGTAAGGGTCTGAAATATTCTGAGCGACTCCACGGCTGTTCTCAAGCTTCCCACTCTGTCTCGCTGTCCTCCTTCCCTTCTCCTCCACGTTTTGAAGTCTTCAGCCAGCACCTCTGGGTCTGTAACACTCACAACTGTCTTGTCCTCACTTGCAGGTCACTATGGCCCAGCTTCATCCCACAGTTGCTGTCTGGTTGCTCCATCAGCAGCTCAATCCAGCTCGCTCAAAGCCAGACTCATTATCTACCCCTGGGTTTTAACCCCGCTTTCCCTGCCCAATTTTCCTTTCTAGTAAACACAATGACAAGTCTTTTCAATAAGCCAGGTCCAAAGCCTGATCTTTCTTTGCCTTCTCATTCCAGGTTGCACATGTAGATAACTGTTAAATCCTGCTGATCTCCTTTGGTAAGTTAAGTCAGCCCAAATCACCTTGTGCCCTGACTATAACGCCATCCCGGTTGTGTTCGCAGACCTACAGTCCTGCCCATGAGTGACCATCCTTATCCACACCATCACTCTTCCACTCAGAAGCCATGAGTGTGGCCCTCCAGCTCCTCAGTAACCTGACCTCACCTCACTTTCCCTGTGCTGCCTCCCAGCACACACCCTGCCTTCCTCAGCCAGTGCCTGCACTCCTCCGCTCTGCCTCTCCTCTGCACCGATGCAAAGCTGCCTTTCAGGCCAATACCAGGTCAAGGGGAGCCAGCGCGCAAACCCCTGCTGTGGTCTGCTCTGCTCTCGGGTCATTCCCAAGCTCCTTGGTGTGGCTGCCAAGGTCTTGCAGGGCAGGGCCTCTCTATGGTTTTCAAGCCTCATTGGTTGTCTCTCCTTTGCTCTCTCTGTATACCCTGGCTGTGACAGCGGCTGGCAATCCACTCGTGTGCTATGCTTTCCCACACCCTCCTGCCCCTCGGTCGCACCTCCTTCATTTGCCTGGGCAACTCCAACATGGGCTTTAGGACCCACGTTGGCCATCGCCTCTTTTGTCACCTCTCCTTGTCCAGGTAGAATGTCCCAACATGTGCTCATCACAGCAATGGCATGGCCATTCTAATCCTGTTGTCTGGTGACTCCTCTGACTTTCCCACTACACTGAGCTCTGTGAGGTCTGGAATCACAACCAAGTCACTTTGTTCCCAGCACCTGGTAAGGGTCCTTGCCCCAAACATTTGTTGAGTTTATTTATTCACTCATTTAACAAATATCTGCAGAGCATGTGTCCTGGGCTGGGCACTGTTACAGGTGCTGGTATTTTAATGGGGACCAAGAGATCAAGCACCTGCTTTAAGGGAGTTGTACTCCACTTTGTTGAATGGATGATGTGTGCATAAAATGAATAAATGCACCAGTGAATAAATGGGTGAATGGAACTTCGTCACGTTCTACCTTAATTTCAGACTTGGTCAAATTCCACCTTAAATTCAGTGTGAATGGCTCTGCATCTGCAGGCATCTATCTTTCATCACACAAAGGCTTTCGGTGGTCAGCATGAGGGCTGTGCCTCTGTGTGCATCCATGACCTTGCCCAGTGCTGGGGGGAAGTCTCCTTGACTCCAGGGTGGCCATCAATGGAGACCCACTGAACAGAAGGAAAACTGAATCTTGTAGGTTTGTCTTCAGGGATAAGAATGGAAATGGGATCATGATCTTCCCCTGAGACTCCCAACCACATGCTTTCCCTCTTTCATTTTTGCCAGTTCAGGAGTAGCAATCCCATCACTCAGCCACGTGCCCAGTACCCAGGATACGCTTGCCCTCAGAGTCACTGTGCTCATCCACCCTTGTTTTACTTTTCCATCAGGGCAGGGTTTCCCAAATGCCACTCATCTTTACAACTCTGCCCTAGATGCATATCTCTGTCATCACTATTCATGTTTTTCTAGAAATGGATCTACTTTAAATATAAATATTAAAATATAACAGCTCTTTGTATCAAATAAATTTTAAATTGCTACTATAAAATAGCATTACTACAGTAGAAAAGCAGCCTTGTGGGTTACAAATAGAATGTAAGGATAAAAATAAATGTCACTTAAAAATAAAATGCTTATCCTTATACCACTTGGGCAGCACACACACACACACACACACACACAGGTAGGAAATACTCTTAGACAAATGAGTGGCTCTCTGGGAGCAGTGCTGTGGTGTAGCGGGTAAAGCTGCCACCTAAAATGACAGTATCCCTTATGGGCACTGGCTCATGTCCCAGCTGCTCCACTTCCAATCCAGCTCCTTGCTAATGGCTTGGGAAAAGCAGCAGAAGATGTCTCAAGGGTTTGGGCCCCTTCCACTCACATGGGAGGCCAGGATGAAGTTCCTGGCCATTGAGGCCATTTGGGCAGTAAACCAGTGGGTAGATCTGTCTCCCTCTCTATATATAACTCTGACAAACAAATAAATGAATAACTCTAAAAAAAAAAAAAAAACAAAACAAAAAGCCAGGGCCAGCATCATGGCATAGCAGGTTAAGCTGCCACCTGCAGTGCTGGCATCCCATATCAGCACCAGTTGAAGTCCCAGCTGCTTCGCTTCTGACCCAGCTCCCTGCTACTGTGCCTGGGAAAACAGAGGAAGATGGTCCAAGTACTCGGACTCCTGCACCCACATGTGGAAGCAGCTCCTGGCTTGTGGCTCGTGGCTTTACCCTGGCCCAGCCCTGGAATGCACCAACAAATGGAAGAACTTTTTTTCTCTCTCTCCCCATCCCACCCCCCACACACACCTCTGCCTCTTCCTGAGCCTCTCACCGTAACTCTGCCTTTCAAATAAAAAAAGGAAAAATCAGTTCCCCTCAAGCGCGGTCCCTGCTCCTCTGACTGACTGCGAGGCTGTGAGGTGAGCATGCTGGCTTTTCTCAGCACCCGGCCAGGATGGAGAAGTTATCTTTGTACAGTAGTGATTGCCAATGCGTCCTATGGTGGACCGGCAGGATCGGCATGGCTGTTAGGAATGTACATTGAGAGCACCCTCCCAACCTTTGGAATGAGAAACTGAAGGTGGGCATAGCCACCTGTTTTCTGGAAGGCCCCATTTAGTGGTTGCATACATACCCCAGAGGCTGGGAACCTTTGCTCTAAACCAGATAAAATCCTTGCCCTAGGCCTGGTTAGTGTCTGCAAGAGGGGTGTGAGCTGGAGAGTGACAGCTCTAGACTCTCCCAGAGCCACTGTTATCAAGCCCCAGGCTCCCGCAACACTGGGGGTGCAGGGGGCAGACGCGGGCGAGCACCAGTGTGCTACCCAGAACCCAGGCACGGGGGCCTGTCTCCTGCTGCCCAGCATTACCTCTCTTTGAAGTCATCGGCGCCGGCCTGGATGGTCTCTGTCTGCAGCATGAGCCGGGCATTCTCCAGGACGGCCTCACCCACCTGGAACGACACACAGCAGAGGACACAAGGCCGCTCACCACCGGGGCTGGCGTTGGCACAGAGGCTCTGGGGAACTTAAAGCACCTTGACCTAAGTGTCCCTCTCCAAAAAGTGGGACTCAGAATGACAATCACCTCAGAATCAGCCCTTAAAGCATTCTGGTCTGGCTGAAAAGCCCACAAGAGCATTTCAGGCATGGAAAACCAAGACACTGCGGCAAAAAACGACCTACATGAAGGACATCTGTGAGTGAGATCCCAGCGGAAAGAAAGGGCCATCAAAGGAGGTACTTTCTCTGAAGGGAGGAGAGAACTTCCACTTTGCTTGTGGCCTTGTCGAGTTGGTGGATTCAAAAGGCTTCCATAGGCTAGGCAGCTCACGTCAAGAGCCTCAGGTGATCACTGACGTCACACATAAGAGTGTTAATTGTTAAATCAACACAGGAGTCACTGTGCACTAACTTCCCATGCAGGACCTCTGTCCTCAGAGAGTTGTTTTAAGAGAGTTAACTATAAAATTTGTTCTCAAAGATTTATTTCGTTTTTGTGTATTAAGTGGAGGATATTCTTAGGTCCCATAAGTTTTAATTATGCCTAACTGTCCAGTCCCATTGCTTGTTTTCTTAGGTACTTCTTTAATTAATGGTAAAATTTGTTCTGAAAGACTTACTTTCTTTTAATGTATTAAGTGGAGGATATTCTTACGTCTCAAAAGTTATAGTGATGTCCAAGTGCTCACAAAAGATGTATCACCCGTGGGTGCTTCTTTAAAGTTAATAAAGATTCTCAAAAAAAAAAAAAAAAGCAAAATTAACTCTGAGATGCAATGACTCTGAACAGCCATTGTCTCGACTGTTGAGGAACAGTTTTTTTTTTTTTTTTCATACAAATTGTTGAACTCTTTACTGACTATAGAGTTAATCTGTGTTGAAATTAATTGAAAATAGATCTTAGCGAAAAATAAGACTGGGAATAAGAGAGGGAGGAAGAGTGGTGGGAATGTGGGTGGGAGGGTGGGTATAGTGGGAAAAATATATCCCTAAAGTTGTACTTATGAAATATATGAAGTTTGTATTCCTTAAATAAAAGGTTCCTTTGTGGGGGGGAGGACATGCGAGGAGTAGGTGGTAAAAAGAAGGTATGATGAGGCTAGTGTTGTGAGATAGCAGGTAAAGCCGCCACCTGCAATGCCAGCAACCCATATGGGCACTGGTTAGAGACCTGACAGCTCCACTTCCAATCCAGCTCCCTACAAATGTGCCTAGGAAAGCAGTGGAGGATGGCCTAAGTCACTGGGCCCCTGACCCTCACAGGAGCCTCAGTAGAAGCTCCAGGTTCCTGGCTTCAGCCTGTGCCAGCCCAGGCTGCTGCAGCCATTTGGAGAGTGAGCCAACGGATAGAAGATCGATTCATTCTCATTCACTCTCTCTCTCTTTCTCTCTCTCTCCCCTCATCATCCTCCTCTTCCTCTCTCTGTAAGTCTGACTTTCAAATAAATATATAAGGCATAAATCTTGATATCTTTCAAGAGTTCTGAGAGTTAGGTTTTTGGAGCGAAGGGATTATTCAAAGGCAGACTGTTCGCGGCTGCTGTCACCGTGAGGCATTTACTGCTCTCCAGGGAAGAGTTCTGGCTCCTTACATGGATTTTCGCTGACTGTAAGTAGTAGCTCTGAGCATTTCCTGGCCATGGGTGCCTTTGAAAGGCTGATGAAATCTCTAAAGGAGTGTGAAGAAGGTTCTGTGGGGTGGAAATGTTCTGTAATGTACTGTCCACCCCGAAGGCCACACGGGCTCCTGAGCACCCAGAATGTAGTGAGGGGGACTGCAAGCTGCAAATGTAACCTTCTTTCACTGTGACAGTTCACACAGAAGTAGCGCCATGTGGGAAGTGGCTGCTGTGTTAGACAGCATGTGAATAGGTCCCAGGGTCTCCTGGGACCTTGAACAGTGGGCTCAAACTTGGCTCTCCCAAGTCCTCCAGGGCCCCCCACAGGTAGGAATTAGGGGTCTCTCTCCTCAACCTGCATGCATTTTCTTTTCCATCACCAGTAGGAAGTTTTATTTGTCACCATTAAAGTCTAACCCTTAAGCACATTCTTAAACTGGTGCTTTGTACCCGTCGTCTCGCTCTACTTTAGCTCCTGCTCAGCCCCAGTGGCTTTTCCAGGACTACACCATTACCAGGAAGTCCCGTGAGTTTTCCCCATTCAAACTCGGGCTTCTTCAGCATTTTTACTTTTCTAACAAAGACATCATGGAGAAGATAAACAGATGGGCAAGCCTGGTCTATATCTTTCCCAGTGCTGTCTGGAATCAATTTATTGACCACTCCTTTTAAGCCTTTTTTTTTTTGTACCTCCATGTCATGCTTTCCATCATCTTCTTCCAGATTTGGTGGACCTGTTGGTGCTGGGCCTAGAAAGTCTTCCGTATTCGATTGTTGCATTTTTAAGTAAAATCAACACAGAATGGAAGCAAACAACCATCTGTTGTCTTGACTTCAACACGAGCTTCAATCACGGTCGGCCACTTTTTGATCATGAAATATATTTTGTCACGGGTAGGACCCATGTCGTGAAAGTTAGGCAGTTTTTGCTGTGAACAACCTCATAATCAGCTTGCATTTTCTAACTGCAACTTCGTCGCTCTGCAGGTCAGCAAGACTCACTTTGAAAATACCACCTTTGAGAATGCGACCCTTGAGACCAGCAGATGTAATTTTGGGTCCTTGAATCCTTGTGACTGGTGTTTTTCCAATATTGCTTATATTGAACATAGCAGGTGCTTTCACATCATGCAAATATTTCCTAGAAAATGGATCAACCATTTTTTTCTTGGTACCCTTTTTGCCACCTTTTGTAAGGCATCTGTCCTTGCCAACTGCCATGGTGGTGCTCAGAGAGCCAAAAGGCTTTTATCTTTATTAAGGATTTATATATATATATATATATATATATGTACATATATATATATATATATATATTTGAAAGGCAGAGTGAAAGAGAGAAAGAATGTTTCATCTGCTGGTTCACTCTCCAAACGTCTGCAATGTTCACAGCTGGGCCACAGCCAAATCCAGGAGCCAGGATCTCCATCTTAATCTCCCACATGGGTGGCAGGGGCCCAAGCACTGGGCCATCTTTCACTGCTTTCCCGGGTGCATTAGCAGGAAGCTGGATCAGAAGAGGAGCCAGGACTCAAATCAGCTTTTCAGTATGGGATGCCAGCACTGCGGGCAGTAGCTTAACCTACTGCACCACAACGTCAGTCTCCATGCTAATTTCCCTGATGGCTGTTTTAATTTACATTCCTCCCAACAGTATACAGGGTTCCCCCTTCCCCGCACCTGGCCAACACCTGTTACCTTTTGTCGTTTTGGTAAAAGTCCTGCCAACAGGTGTGAGGTGGTAGCTCATTGCGGCTCTGATTTACATTTCCCTGATATGATGTTGCATGAACATTGATTTAATCATCTCGCAATATCCCCTGCTGGTTCCTGTACTGGCTGCTCCACTTCCAATCCAGCTCCCTGCTAATGTACCTGGGAAGACAGGGGAAGGTGGCCCAAGTGCTTGGGTCCCTGCACCCATGTGGAAGGCCTGGATGGAATTCCTGTCTCCTGGCTTTGGCCTGACCCAGCCCCAGGCATTGTGGCCATTTGGGGAACTAGTGGATGGAAACTCTCTCTCTCTCTCTCTCTCTCTCTCTCCCTGCCTCCCTCCTCGCTCTCTCCTCGCTCTCTCCCACCTTTCTCTGTGTAACTCTTTCAAATAAATACACAAAAATATTTTTAAAACAGGAAAAAAAAAGAATTCAGTGCATGGCAGAGAAAGAGGATGGAATAAAACTGGAGTGAAGGGCAAGGCCCAAATAATGAGAGGCCTCCCATGCCAGGCTAAGGAGTTCATAGGGCAGGGGACACAGTGGGGTTCATTTAGGAACCTACCTCCTAATTCAGATTCCAAATACGCCTCTTAGTAAGAACACACCAGTTGGAAATCAAAGATTAGACACATGGATTATAGATAGATGATAGAGATGATGCTCAGAGAGACCCAGACTGAGAGACCGAGATGCAGAGCTGGGGGGAAGGTCAGTTGGCTGTCCAGAGAACCCCATGGTCAGATATCTTGATTCTGTCAGAGCAATCAGAGAAAATTAAGCCTTAAGAAAATTAGCTCGAAGCAAACAACTTCTCTGATACCCTGGCTCAGGGCTTTGTTATAAATATGCAGCGCTGGCTCAAAGTCTTCTGTGTACGCCATCGGCACTCACTGTCCAGAGCCAGCCCTCATGCTTCCACTGTAGCTGCAGGTGGAGTCGCCAGGTGGGCCCAGACCAGAACTTGGAGGGACAGAGAAGCTTCCAGGCAAAGTGGGGCCTGAGGAACTTTGTCCTTGTCATGACAGAGGGCAGCTCCTGTGGACTAAGGTGTCCCCATTGCCCAACAAAGGCAATTACAAGGGTACTTGGAAATAGCCATGGAAAATGGAATTAAAAAAGTAAACTCTATGCACAAGGGGTCATCAAAAGTTCATGGATTTCAAAATGTCTTGGCACGCACAAAAAAGCTATCTCATAGACCCCATAGAAACCACCCTCTAGTTCTGTCCTCTCGCCCTGCCCGGGGTGACCCCTTCTACAGTGGCATTCTTTCTGCTGGCGCGCAGCCTGATGCTGATGTCAAGGTTTATTTGCACCACAGACTCAGCACTGTCCATTGCTCTGGGCTTCCAGAGTGAAACCCAACCTCAGCCCTCAGGTGCACCTCCTCCTCCTTGCAGACCCAGTGGTATTCCCCTGCGTCCTCTCGCAGACACAAGCCGAATTCCCTGTGCTTGGGCTTCTGATTTTTCACCCCCAGGTAGTGGCCATTAGTTCACACCAGAAAAGATGAGCAGGGCTCTAACAAAGCTGGACAATGGAGCGGGGGTGGGTTTGGAGCACCCATGGGGGAACTTGCAGTTCCTCAACTTGGCTGATGAAGGAAAGGGAGGTCTTCAAGGTGCTTCCCAGCTGGGACCCGGTGGGAACCGGGGTGCTCCCTGAGTGGGGACCAGGTCCTCCCTGCTGTGGTTCTCCACTGCTGGACCTATTCATTACCTGACGCCTGCTGTCCCACATGGCACAATAAGTGGCAGAAAAAAGTCGTCTCTTGAAATCAGAAATGCATGACCTCAGAGAGTTTGCATTCTGGTGACAGATTCAAAGAAAACAACTAATAAACCAACAAGTAAAAACTGATAATAACCACAAGCTGTAACAACTGTCGTAAAGAGAGCTAAGGAGGAGAGGTGCAGGATGAAGGGAAGCCCTCCTTCAGGTCAGAGGGCTCCGCCCCTGCAAAGAAGAGGAGAGGCGTGGCGCAGGCAGAGAGGCAGGCTGGCAGTGCTGCAGCCCAGGGGCAGCAGGGAGGCTGGGTGGTTCTGAGCGCCAGGGACAGCACAGTTGGAGGCGTATGAGCAATGAGACACGCGTGCAGGGCTTTGAAAGCCTTGAAAGCCACTGTGGGGAGTCTGAGCTTTGTTCCAAGTATAAGAGACACCTCTAAAGAGGGAGGAGTTAACCTACTCAGAGTGACATCATCTTCTGAGTTTAAGAAGATCGCTCCGGAAGCAAGATGCAGAATGCGTCATTACGGGGAGGGAAGAGCAGAGAAGGGAGGATGTTGCCTTGGTCCAGGGGAGCAGGATGGTGACTCCCAATACGGTGACGTTGGGAGAGACGGAGGAAACATCGTAGGGGTAGACTGGACCAGACTCACGCTTGGATTAGAAGCAGGAGAGGCACAAAAGGGAGAGGTCACATGACTCCCTGGTGTCTGAGCCGCTGCTGGAGATGTCTACTGAAATGGAGGGGATTCTAGATTTCCTCGTGAGGCACGTCAAGCCTGGGGCTGTGAGGAAACTCCTGAGCTAGAGCTGTCCATGTGGAAGTCATTAGCACCACAGCGGCGTTTAAGTCAGGGTGAGCAGACCAGATCATATGGGGATTAAAAGAGGCCCCAAGACCCAGTCCCAGGAGACTCTAATGTTTGGAGATCAGATAAGCGAGGAGACCTAATGAAGGGGAGAAGAGTGAGACAGAGTGGCTGGAGAACAGGAGGACGAGCAAGAGAAAGGGGTCTTGGAAGTTGAGAGCAAGGCCCACGTTCTGCGACAGATGCAGCAGGTGGACAAGACAAGGGCAGAGCGCCTTTGCTGGGCTTCCTAGCTGGACTTCTTGGCCACCTCGGTAAGAGCTGCACGGCCCGGGTGCTAGGCCAGATTGTTCCTTCCTCTCCACTTATTGCTAAAGGCATGCAGCTCTTCCCTCCTCTGCCTGAAATTCAAGGGCGTCTTGCATCTTGCCACTGCTCCGAGTTTAATTTCCCTGGAGTCCCGCCTCGCCCACCTCCTCCCCAAGCCTGCAGCTCTAGCTGCTAGCACACCGACGTCTTTATCTCAAGTAAAACATTCATCTCACTCTTGGGCCCAAATGGCATTCTTTAAAGTGCCGCCTGTCTTCACCTTTTTCAAGCACCGTGCTCGTCAAATCCCTCATCGGTGACCACTGCCCCATTCATTTTACTTACCATGTCCACAGTGAGGAGAGCAGCAGGAGGGGAAAGAGCACATGTGACCAGGTCTTTTCAAAAGGAAGAAAGATATACATCAAGCCACGGGGTAGAAACCTTCATTCAACTGCCTGTGCATTCAGAAAAAGTAGAGCAGGAACAGCGCCAGACTGTAGAGACCCCTCAAATCCACTTGACATTCAGTGAACTTACGCTGTGCACAAAGACAACAATAACAGCGACAGCTGCCACCCGCGGACTGCTCCCTCCGCCAGGTGATCTGCTGGGTGCTTTATGCACACTGCCTCGTCCGATTCTCACAACTACCCTGGCAGGGACGAGGAAACCCGATTTTTCAGTCACTCTGAGCAACTGGCCCAAGCTGGCGAGTGGAGGAGTGAGGACCGAGACCGTGAAAGCAGGACCCCTGTGCACAAAGCGTTCGCCCTGAATGTGGGGAGGTCACAGCAGAGGGGTGGAGTTCAGACGCAGGGCTGACCAGGAAGGAGGAGTGGGCTTGGAGTAGCTCAGGAGTCCCCCTGCGCTCTCACGGCTACTCCATGACCTGAAACCGTTCCATTCCCCAAACGCACCGTAAGCCTGTCCGCTTCTCTCCAGCTCCCCTACAACCAGCCCATGATGGTCTCTGGACGCCTGTGCCACGAACAATCAGCGGTCCGTGAAGAAAAAGCTCTGACTGAGAGAGTTTGCCGACTTCCCTGGGGTAAACCCTCTCAGCCCTGGCCACCGGCAGTTACCGCCACGCTGGCGGGGAATGCAGAGAGGCACGGCCTCCTACGGTGCTTCCAGCATGCAGACATTTGGGCGCGGTAACTCGGGAGCACACCTAAGTCAGGGTGAGACACTGAGTAGGGGACTAGGGCTTGTGATCCACGGGATTTGAGATTCATTGCCTTTGTTTCTAAAGCAATCTGTTTAATGACAAGTTGACCCCCTTTGATTTTTCACAATGGCCATGTTTAGCAACCCGCTCACACAGCTCCTGCAATGTGGAACAGTCCACGCCCACCAGGCATTAGAACCTAGCACCTGGCTGGGTGCCTGTGTTGGTGGTAGGCAACTCCAACTTCCCTTCTCTCTTCCTTTCCCATCTGCAGCCCTGGGCCAGATTTCCTGAAGGTTTTCCTAGAGTGGAGGACATTGCCTGCCCCCAGTAGACTCCAAGCTTTACTTCTGGCCTCCAGGCCACCATCCTGTCTTCAGCCCGTGTAGCCCTCAGCCAAGGTCCCAGCCTCCTTCTTGCTGCCCAACTGGCCTCTTTCACAGCTGGGGAGGACAAGGGACCACTAACCCCAGCGAGGATATTGGCT